TAATCAATAATTGACTGATTGTCGATGACACTGTCTCCAAGGTAGTGATCGTTTGTTGTATGATAGTACAGTTGTGACGGAACACCATACTAAAGTGTCTGTAATCAATAATTGACTGACTGTTGATGACACTGTCTCCAAGGTAGTGATCGTTTGTTGTATGATAGTACAGTTGTGGCGGAACACCATACTAAAGTGTATGTAATCAATAATTGACTAACTGTCGATGACACTGTCTGTAAGGTAGTGATCGTTTGTTGTATGATAGTACAGTTGTGACGGAACACCATACTAAAGTGTCTGTAATCAATAATTGACTGACTGTTGATGACACTGTCTCCAAGGTAGTGATCGTTTGTTGTATGATAGTACAGGTATAACCTAACACAACATTAAAGTGTCTGTAATCAATATTTGACTGACTGTCAATGACACTGTCTCCAAGGTAGTGATTGTTTGTTGTATGATAGTACAGGTATAACCTAACACAACATTAGTGTGTCTGTAATCAATATTTGACTTACTGACGATGAAACTGTCTCCAAGGTAGTGTTTGGTTGGTGTAAAGTGACACAGGTATAAAATAACACCACACTAGGCTGTCTGTTATCAATAATTGACTTACTGACGATGAAACTGTCTCCAAGGTAGTGTTTGTTTGGTGTATAGTGACACAGGTATAAAATAACACCACACTAGGCTGTCTGTAATCAATAATTAACTGACTGTCGATGACACTGTCTCCAAGGTAGTGATTGTATGCTGTATGGTGCCATAGGCATAACCACCACACTAGAGTGCCTGTAATCAATAATTGACTGACTGTCAATGAAACTGTCTCCATGGTAGTGTTTGTTTGGTGTAAAGTGACACAGGTATAAAATAACACCACACTAGGCTGTCTGTAATCAATAATTGACTTACTGACGATGAAACTGTCTCCATGGTAGTTTTTATACGTTGAAAGTTTTTTTATGTAAGCTACACTACCAACATATTTATTGGATATTTATTTGTTCGATATTTGTTGTTGTGAGTTTTAAAACACCCTTTTTCAGGTCAACAAAATACAAAATATACGTCTAACCTCTGTGATCTACCTAAGGGGTGTTAATCATATATATAACTTTCAGTAGTTATTCTCCTTTAAAATCTGTTCACAATGTCATACTTTTTTTAATTTTAATAAAGGTCTCTTCTAAACACCCTAATCAAAAGGTATTTTCATCATCAAACTGTGTATTCCTTTTATCTACTGTTTTCAGTTTATGTTCTGTTGTTTACGTAATACAACTTAACATTAACAAACAAGAAGACCCCATATTTAAAGGGCCTGTTAATATTTTTCTCTTCCAAATTGGTTTAGATCAACATTAAGGCTCTAACAAATGGCATCAAACTCATTGAAATCGACAACCTGTAAATATATTTCGTGACTAAGTAATCTATCGTGAATACGAGGACAGCGTTTAGAAACAGAACCTTAAATGTTAAAGCCCTAAATTATAGTAAGTAAAGGAAATGTTACTTTGGAAGTTACCCTAGAAAAGAGAATCACTATGTTTTCTCCGTCAGTTGATCTAGATATGATTTTCAGTCTCGAAGGGCGTGTTCTAGTGACACGCAGAAAGGCAAGCAGTTAGTTCGTTCACCTCCAAACAATAGAATCGATACGATTGTTGTTGAATCAACAAAATCAAACAAAGACAAACGGCAAACTGGTTTTTACACAAAAAATATGGTGTATAGGGATATCTTTTCTTACTCATAGATAATTTAATTTTGAGATTGTTAAAATATTGCAATAGATTGTTTTACATTTGAGCTTTTTAGGGACTTATGTCCTTTCAAGAAACTACAATTTAAATTGCAATGCTGCGATTCTTTCAACAATTTATTTCCAATGAATATTTAAAACGTCAATTGAATAACACAAATATGTTTATACCCGCATTGAGAAAATGAAAGATTGTGGCTACAAGTACTATAATGCACCGTTGTTAATATAAACTTGGTTGTGCCGTTAATACATTTTGTTTGATTTCGCTTTATTGGATTGAATTATTTTGTCATTTTCACAATTTAAGCAGAACGCTTTAGTATTTATTGTATTTTTTACGATATCGAGTCTTCTACGTTTTATGGTATTAACTTAAGTTATGACTATTGCATTATTAATAACAGATGGTAAATGTGTAATTTGAGTACAAGAAACTAAGTTCTTTGTAACTATTTCTCAAGTTTTCAAACAAAATTACTACCCTAAAACCATTTAATATGCTCCACTCTAAACTAACTTTGAACCTAAGCAGTATTTTGATTGAAAAATATAATGTGAACCTCTTTCCAAAAATAAATACTCTTAATCAGCATGGAAGTAGAACATGTATTTCAAAATCAAAATAGTGTTTCTATTTGTAAGATATAGATAGATAGCTTACAAGTGTAATATTTCCAAAGCAGTTATTTTTAGTTGACAATTGTCTGAACTTACCATATTTATTGGCTAATAAATAGAAAAACAGCCAAATATCGATACATTTTAGCTTCTGAGGGAGTTACAGCTCAGTGACATCATACATATTGTACTGCAGATTTGCATTATAACTGGAACATCACACTGCACTTACTGCTATGGTTTAGTCATGGCGGCTCCCGTCAACGTCCCCCTCTATCCATCCAAATTTCGCCTTAATAGTCATTGAACTTCATACAAATTCGTTAAACAAACGTAAAGGTTAAAGTTTACAAATGCTGAGTAAACATTATACGGATTTGCGTGCTGTATATCTCCCCACCAAAAACTACCATTTCAAAGATCCAATTTGGTTGGTTCTTAAGCTCATGCCAATTAATGTCGGTTTAAAAGCTTCATCAAAATTGGAGAGATTGAGTGAGGGCTATTGTGCCTACATACACATACATAATATACTTCTATGTTTTACTGGGAAGCCTACGACAATAGCTATCTCCCAGAAGGATGCGTTTAAAAATCCGGCTTTTGATGTATAACGTATAGAGTTGTCAAATAAACCCAATCAATTTAGGGATGATGAATAGCGTCCATGTCCCAAGCATGCCTTTACATGCCCAGAATGGCAGTAAAATATTGCCAATGATTTTACGTCGTCAATCACTATGCTATTTCCTGATGTCTCTAGTTCGTAAGTAAAATTAGTTTCTCGTAAACTCCAATCGCATGTTTAATCTTAGAGTACCAAGTGAGTGTAAACTAGTGTTATTTAGTAAGGAATGAAATGATTTAATCTAACTTTCAGGTCCAACATTTTGGAAATTTACAAGGTATCTTTCCAGTCGTGTTTTGGAAATTATCGTCATCACAACTCTATAAGTAAATTTTAAATAGGCTGATCAAGAATTTTCGTCACAAAACCAAGCAATTATATGTTTTAACAAATAAAAGATTTTTATTTTCTATGTGAAAAAAAACAAGCATGCCTACTAGGGTTATCAATCAAATCATCAACATTTACTCAATCATATTACTTTCTCCCCCTATACCATGGTATATGGAGAAGTATTGTTTTCGTCAAAATTTTCGAGTTTCAGTTTTGAGTGGATATATCCGTTTTGGGTCCCCCTGGACCCAAAAAAGTGGTTTTCGAAGTGATGTCTGTGTGTGTGTGTGTCTGGATGTGTACAGAGCTAGGGACTACACCTGTGGTCCGATTTCGATGGAATTTGGTATGTAGGTTCTAATCCATGGTATCTCCGGGCGTTTTTTGTCATTTTATTGAAATTTTTATTTTTTATGGGGATTTTCCCATAACACCCATAAAAAAAAACCAGAAAAATCAAATTTTCCCAAAAATGGCCCGAACGATTTTGATACAAATTTAGTATGTTGTAGCCCTTTAAATTCTGAACAAAATGGTACAAATCCCATTTCTGTAAAAAATACGTTATAAAATTATGTTATTTTCTCAAAAAAAACCCCATAATATAACAAAAAATAGGATTTTAGAAAAAAACCGGTTTTGGTTTAACATAGTATGTTATGGTCTTACAATGTCGATACATTTTTTCATTTAAAAAAAAATGTTGATTTTTAATGGGGAATTTCCTATAAAACCCCATAAAATAAGGGAAACATAGGATTTTCTATAAAATGGCCCGAACGATTTTAATAAAAATTTAGAATATATAGTCCTTTAAATTCTGAACAAAATTGTATAAATTCCATTTCCGTATATTTAGTCTCACCGCTTACACATGATAAAGCTGGTTGACACACTTATGGGAGATAGTATGTGTCAGAATGCTGATACAGTTTATTTTGATATTGCTGCCAAATAGTTTGAAATAATACGATTTCTTCCCCTCGAATTGAAACGTCAAGCACAAAAATCTACCAACTTATCATTCCCCAGTTATGGGCTGAATTAATCATTAAAACTGGCATTAGCACAAACCTCATTCTTCCCCTTGCTTTTCTGTTAGCAAGAAATAATGTGATTCCCAAAACGACATTAAGATTAATAAATAGTCTAAGAAAACTAAAGGAATAATATTTTATCCATGAGAATTGCGTTGAGACTGAAAATATTGTTTACACTTGTAATATCTCGGTATAGGCTTATGAGAAAAATACATTACATTAATAAAATATACATTAAATAATGTGTGTGCCGAAGTAGGATGTTGTGCAGCTCTGTTTCAATTCGTATATATCAATCGTTTATAGTAAATTTTAAATCACACTCCAATCTTTTTTTGTAGAAAATAAACTTGACATATAGATAAATATAATAAAATATTATTTACATATCAACTGAACCTCGCCGACAAGTTTTGTAAACTTGGCGACGCCAAGCCTATGTAATATTATTGATAAATATACTTGAACTTAAATTATTATTAATTTGGATAATAGCAAACCCTCTATAATGTATATTGAAGGGCCGTTTGAAATTTTTCTCTAATGATGATCATGTGGCACAAAATATCTTTATTTCTAACTTTTGCTTTATATTTTCCAGGGGAACATATGGCAGCAACTACTGTCGTTCCATTTCATTCTAGAGCTAGTAAACACCATTCCGTTTGCGTTTACAGTGAGTATTCCTATGTTTTTCACTGGTTGTTGTTATAGTTATAGTATAAATTTGTATAAATATATCCTGTAAGTCTAGATCTATCTATATGTTAATTACGTAAGCCGATTCTTTGCGTCAAATTTGTGGGTGACTGGGAAGTAGTAGAATGACGGGAGAGGGCTCAAATTAAAGGTCTCGATCCTGTGACGGCGGGAAAAATAGTTAAATTCTCTAAACTTTAACACAAAATTTGATATAACGTAAAATGTTCTTTATAAGAAATGCATTAGAAGCCATTTACTGCTGATTTTTATTTACTTCAATACGCTGATCGTGATTAATCATCAAACCAGTAAGCAATATTACATTTGGATTACTCATTTGCCAGTCAATTCTGCAATGTACTGTATACTATATAAAACTAGGGATAACTTTAGGCCTACATATAATAATAAATATTTTTTAGTTACGTCTTAGAATGTTGAAATCAATTATTTTACTGTGCAATTGGCAAACTTGTGTATTTTTAAGTAAATTAGTTAAGCGTATGATAAGTAGTAGAATCATAGGAGATGGCTCAAATCAATGGAATTAAACTTAGAATGGCTGAAAAAAATTATGAAGTTATTTTCTTCTAACTTAACGGTTATTGTTGTGTTGGAGGAATGTTCAACATGAAATAACTACATTCACTAAATAATAATCGATTCAAGATTGTTGAAAACTTCTGCTTTGTTTTGATTTCAAAACATTTGTTTAAGATTTATTCTACACTTTTTTATACTTACTAACATTTTTAATTTGAGATTTACTGTAGTGTTTACAAAAGGAGCATGCACTTAGAAATAATAACTAGGTCGGGGTGCTAATTTAGCGATTTTAACTAAGAACTAAGCTTATCTCAACACACCTTTATTTGCCTTTTCATATATGACGAAGACAATTTTGAGCTTTTCAGGGACTTATGTCCCTTCAAGCCACTAGTATTGTTAGAAGTGTGTATCAGTTTCAATTTGGCATCACGTTGAGTTGAATATACGTAGATTTATTAAAGAAGCTTTGCACCTTCTCTTTATAGTTGAATCCTCGATACCAAGGACTTAACTCTCTTTAAAGCCCTGCATTTATTATCCTTTTGGATCTGCTAAAAATAGTTTTGGAAAGGATTTGAAACGAAGTTGTTTCATATTATCTCTTGTTATTTTACTAACATTATGATCAATCCGACCAAAAAAGTGATATGTATGTAATCCACTGAAACTTTACTAGTAGCATATACAACAAAGATACGAGGAACAAAGATGCATTTGTAGTCATTTTTCCCCTAAAATAATATTAAACTATTAGTTTTCATCAACATACTCTATATCAGCAGAAATTACACAAATCAAGAATGGTTTAAGAAACCCCTAACATAATGTAAACTCGTATATCAGCATAAATTTGAAGGGAAATCTACTTATCCAAAGTCAAGGATGATACTAGAGTGTAATATCCCCAAATATTCATTTGGTTTTCGTGGCTTAAATCTCAATGGTAAGGCCACATTGATAATTAATTAAATCATCTCATTGTAGCGTTTACAATCGCATTTAATAATTGTATTACACGTCACAGTGCGTGTAGTCGGTATATAAGTGATTAGATGACAGGTTTGATAATATATTATGTACGTAATTAAATTATTTAGCTTAATCTGCGTACATGCGTCATAGTGGCATGGTTGTGAAATTTAGATAGCTTCGATGCATGGTCAAATAAACGGCGCCACACGTAAAGCTAATTAGGAAGTTACAAATTTGTAGATTCTTAGTACAAATATGTTTCAGTTGGTGCAATGATTGGTTGCCTCTATATATTATATTACATTATAGAATCAAATTTTAAAGGCCTAAACTCATCGCATGTTGGGCTTTTCTCTGTAAACATGATTTATGACTCATAATACCTTCCTTTACTGCCCGTGCGGCAAGCATTTTATCTTTCATCACAATGTAATATATTACAAACTCACTTATGAAACTATTATCGAGAAATGGCGCAACAACGTCAACAGTTGTACCTACTATTATAATTACTGGTATTGATTAAGACGTAGATTTTACTAAAATTCAAGTTTAGGTTAAATACCACTTTTTCTAATACCAAGATGGCGGAGTAAGGTAAACCATAAAATGACCTAGGAACACCCTCTTAATTTCCTATAAGTAATTTATACATACAAACGTGCATACACAAGTTTACTTTAGAATAATCCCTAGATGTGTTCGTGCATGGACTGTAATAAACCTAAACATGTTGTGTGAACATAAACCTAAGAGCCTCATTTTTACAAATTAAACATAAACTTAAATAACAGCAATCTAACGTGGTGCAAATTTTAATTTACGACAAAATGATTTAATACTAACTTACTTGAGATAAAACTTGATATTCAACATAACCATACTTTCTGCCATGAAGCGAAATTCAAATATACCTAACATTATTGACTATCTAACATGTAAAGTTACGTTAAATACAAAATGCAGTTTATAATAGACTATGTAGTGGGTTAAAACTCCGGTAAATCAATATGCAAATCATAGTAAAGACCAATATAACATCAGTAAATTAGGTCAGTCGTCGAAATGTCAGAATGAAGTGTGATTAAGTGAGGTAATTGAGGAATCGGACGTATAATCGATCAGTCTGAATGTGGGTTTGTTGGTGGACTCGATAGCAAAAACTCGATAAAAATACAGTCAAGTATTTCTATTTGAATTTCACAAGCGTTTCACTATTCATTCTTCAACGATTTAATAAAAGAGCCTAGCTGTAGTTTACTTTACATACAAATGTTTCGTCATACTGCAGCAAAACAGCTGTTTTTAATACATGCGTTACATGTCCCTACAAGCCTTTTTTCCTAGGGAGTAAAAGTCAGCTGTTGCAAACTCAATGGTAACGAGTCATGTAACGAAATAGGTATCAATTGATTCGATATAAATTGATCAGTTGTGGTATTGTTGTATTCTGTCAATAGTTTGACATATCAATAGTATGAATCCAATAGTTGATGGTATTATATACACTAACACAATCGTAATAGACGAAATGATTGAATCACTTACTAAACAGCTGCTTGTTTCCAATAGCAAAGTTGTTTGAAAGTTGAAAGTCGTTTTGAGAGGTTATACTTATATGAAAAGTATTATCATTTCCTAAATCAAGTTGTTAAATAATATTGCAATATGATGAAAAATGTAGTTCATTACACGGGCTAAATGTGTTTTTCAACCCTCGCCCACTTCCCTCAGCTTTGCCTCGGTCGTTAAACTGGAGCTCGGATCAAATAAGTTACTTTACTCTCTAGTAACGAATTATACTATTATAGAGTATTAAAAACATAATCAAATAAGATCCATTCTTTGTCAGCTAAACCGACTTTCTGTTAAGTTCAGTTCATATCAGTGTCATTGTGGAAACAATCCTAAGAAACATCAGACTCTTAAGCTATAATTAGTACTAAAGTTATAGACACAAAGAACCTTTTCTATATGAAAGTTAGTATAACAATATTCCATTATAGAAGCAGCTCCTTAAATATAATGTTGAGTAAATATGTAACAGGAACAAGCCAGTCCCAAGACAGCACTTTGTGTTGAGGTCGTCGTTCTTTCTTGTTTTGCAATTATTATTTAACCTACATTGTCATCTTTTATGAATAAACAAAATTATAATGGCATTTTTAATGGATAATTATATCAAGTATGAATATATTTGAGCTGTATACATTCCATACAGTAAGCTACGAATTAGTAAAGAGGATTTTCAACCCTGAAAGTATTGGCACGACAAAACCGGGATTGAATATTAATGTGATGGACAAACCTTTCTACTGTAGGATAATGTATGTAGTACAAAACCTGTTCACTCACTAACTTTCAACTGTAGGGGGGGGGGGGTGTATTTAAAATATACTGGAAAATAATATTTCTCGAAAATATATTTAAAATGTGTGTGCTTGCACAAGTTAGGTCATAATGTTTATACGAAACGGCATTACTTATTTATTTGTTGTTTAGCTAAGTAAATATATTTGTTAAAGGTAAATAATAAGCGAAAAAGATGAGACTAATAATTTACAATAATAATATAGATCGTTACAAAATTATAGATTTCGATAAATTATTTTTTTGGGCAAAATCTCTAAATTAAGATTGAAAACCATGTCAATGTATTTAGGAAAAAACATCGGATTCCCATGTCAAAGCTGCATTCACTTTTAATAATAAAACTTTTTACAGTGACCTGACAAAGCCAGGCTTCCTTGCACTGATTATAGCACGCAAAGTAACTAATTGCCGCAATTGCTTACTTTTTACTTTGCCGCACTCCAGTATTCCAACCAAACAACACAAAACGTATGTGCTTTTATAAGACACATAATGCGTGTCCGCTTGAAAATAAGTTAACAACACTTAAAGATACTACGACTGCGATCAGCTGGTGCAACGCTTCACATCCTTTGACCGACTATTGATACTACGACTTACCTGTTGTTTCGTAACATTCTATTTTCGTTCAACGCTTGGATAACCTAACCTAAAACGTGTTGTTTTGTGTTTCAATGGCTAATTATTTATACGCTTTGTAGTATTAGTCGGAAAATATAATGTGTAGTGCGAGCGCAAAGTGCCTTTGCTGCACACGAGAAACCTTTCCTCATTATCAGAAAAGTACCACTTCGCGCACTAGTTACACAAACAACTATTTCAAACTTAGTTGAGTTGATCATCTCTGAAGTGACTGCTGCGGCCAGTCAACTATTTCCGTCCTAGGTACAAACTTTGTAACCAATCAATATTGAAAGAACAACTTATTGTAAACTATGACATAGTTATGTCTCATTAACTTATTATTAACACACAATGAATAAAACAATACTTTGCCAGTAGCACACTCCGTAAGGTACTATGTTCTCACAACGTTACCGTCTATGATATAACTACCTTACCTCTTATACATAATCAACG